AGGATAACTTGCTCTCTGATTTTACCTCAGCCACACCTGAGATATGCAAAATAAGTGTAATTAGATATAACTTAGAAATATTAACACAGTCAAATGCCTTTTAAGTGGAAGAACCTAAAATAAAATCTATGTACTGCGTTTCAAAGTTCAAGTGTATTTCTCCTACACCATTATTTCTCCCATTCTAGCACCTGAAACTTTTGCTTTCAAACATTAACCCAAGTTGTCACTAGGAGATAGGTGCCATCTATTTCCTACTGTGGTATGGTAATATGAATATGGGATTTGACATTGAAAGATCTGAATCTGCCTCAAACCACTGTGTACTATTGGGCCAAACACTTAAGACTTCTTGAGTCCCAATTCCCTCAACAACAGCAACAAAAAAATGTGTTGCCAAAATCAAGTAAGTACTATAATTTTAAGATGTTACATAAATGACACTGGGATTATTATTATTTGCTAATATTTATTGATAAGTAACAATATTCTAGGCACTTTGTAAAGTACAATATAGTCATTATTTTTACATTACTCATTTCAACAATTCTCTAAAGAAAGAACTATCACTTTACCCATTTTAAAGACAGAGTTTGAGACATAAGGGGGTTAATTCACCCATGGTCACATAGTTTGTATGTGCTACGTCAGGTTTAAAAGCCAGATCTTTCTGATTTCAGAAATCAAAGAGTATTGGCTGATTCTGACTTAAGGTAAATCCCTCATAGGTGTATTAGCTTTTTAATAGTTGAGTCTAGAAGGAACAAAGCCTTCAAGACACAGAGGAATAAAATTCTAATTTAGACTGGCATATAAAGGAACGAATATCAAAATCTGCTTCTCCCCAATATATCTACTTGTAGGCCCAGTCTGACTGCTACAGTCACATACGATATTCAGTATGCTTGCACAGAGGAAAGGGTATTATTTCCACTACCACAATGCTTCCAAAACTAAAAACCCATTGCCGTCGAGTCGATTCCGACTCATAGCAACCCTAAACAATGCTTAGATATAAGAATATTCTCACTTTTGATGTCAAAACGTGTTTAACCGTATCAAAAAAAGGAAGAGTGTTGATGATAGGTTATAAAGAGAATGATTTTAACATCACTATTACTGTTGGCTGTAATATTTACTTATTTTTTCATTAAAAGTACATAAGTGTATAAGGTTAACCAAAACCAAATCTGCTGCCATCGAGTAGATTCTGACTCATAGTGAGAGAAGACAGAGTAGAACTTCCCCATAGGGGGTTCCAAGGCTGTAAATCTTTGCAGAAGTGGATTCCCACATCTTTCTCCCACAGGGCAGCTGGTGGGTTCAAACTACTGACCTTTGGGGTAGCAGCTGAATGCTTTTAACCACTGTGCCACCAGCATATAAGGTTAGATTGATCTAAAATCACTAGAAAAAAAGAGAACTATATTTACCTTTTTATCTGTAGACATAAGAGAAAAATTCGTCTCTTTACATACTGGTCTAATTTTTCTTGAAACTCTGAATATAGCTTTTTAACGGAATTTATTTTGAGGGTACTAAAAATAGTTCTAAACTGACAGGTCAATTTAAGTCAACAGACATTAGTGAGAATATGTCTCTATACAACATACATATGTCTATACTGAGAAACAACTGATAATATATTATTTCAAAATATTTGTATTAGAATCATCTGATCAGGATACACAGTCACAGGGCTCTACCACTAATAAGAACACAGGGGTACTTTTATTGTTAGTTTAAAAAGTGCTTCCAGGAAACATCATCTTTCTGGCACCATTTTAACATATTATGAGTGGAAAGTCACATATTCTAATTGAAAATAAGTCATGAAAAATAAACTTTTTAAAATGAACTGATTTAGATACCAGAAAGTCTTTATCTACAATACCATCATAATTGGCTGAAGAGTAAAAAGTGAAACTGTGGGGAAAAAAAAAAAAAACAAAAAAACCTGTTTTATTTTTGACATTCATAGGATAGCACATCATTTGTCTGATAACTTGTTTGTATGTCTTGAAATGGGTTTGATTGGCCATTCTATAGCTAATATTTCAATG